CAAGCTACAAAGTGAGGAGGCACCATTAGTCCCACCAATTTATGAAACCTATGAACCACATCAATGACCACCATGGCAAAGAATTCTAAGAAAGGAGTAGCTACATGCATATGTCGGCAGTAACCTAGAGTTCTGTAATTGGACTTAATACCCATTCAACATAAGGAAAATTATGCCTGATACTAGAAACCTATTGCAGTGAATTAATGGTTATTTAAAAAGAAGCAATAATTTACTAAATGTTATACCCACAGAAAACTCTAGTCTTCACACAACATCAAGGAAACTTCTCTTAACAAGAGAACAGTACATAAAACCACAACCAATATAGAGTTGTAGTGGATCATCGCAACAAGTCCAAGCACTCCCACAGTTCAGGATCTGGGACTATTTTGGAAGAGGAGGCTAAACAGGAGGCAAAGGATCAGAGAATGGGCTGTGAAATAGTACCTCATATTAGAATCAGAAGCTACACTCAAAATGCCTCTCAGCAACATGACTACACAAATGTAAGCTGAAAAATGCCAAAATTAAGATAGCAAAACCCCCAAGACCTCAATATGAGCAACTGTACCTGGATGCATGTGACTAATTCAAGGTACAAAGCCCAAGAATAACACAAACAATCTCCTTTTGGCAAGGCCTGGGAAAATTTAATTCATGTTTGGCAAGGCTGATGGGTAGTTTGGTGGATATTTCTGGGCATGACCCCAGGAACATCTGTCCTACATGCTCTCCTTGCTGCCTCTAGTTTCACTTTCTAAGAGCCATAGTTAAAATGGGATTGTATTAGAAAAATTTTTTCCCTGGTGTTTTCCCTCTGCATGAACTGGTGGGGATAACATTAAAAATATATAGTAGATCAAAAACCTAAAGTTTTTGATGTTTCAAGTGTGACCATGAATTCAGAATTGTCAAGAATGAATGTTGTCTTTCCAATGAACCTTGTGACTGGCCTGAGACACAGAAGTTCATGACAATATTAAAAATTAGCATAATTGTCCTGGAGAGAATGATTTTAAACACAAAAGTCTAGGTGAAATGTTAAAAGTAGAGGATATCAAGAGTTAATGGGAAGAGTTTAAGAACAGGGAATGAAGCAGAGTCATAGAAACCCAAAATACCCTCATCTCTATAGCTATGCTAATACTGTAGGAAGTTGAAAGGAAGGGAACATGAGAACAAAAGAAAAGCAATGCCAACTATTAAGAACAAGCTTTTAACTTATGTAGTTTATATGATGATAGGAGAAAACCTGGTATATTCCTATAGGAAATAGAGTAGTATGGAACGAAGAGTGGATTCACTCAGCCTTGGCTGATGAGTTGATTATGACAGTTTATATTTGACCAGAGGGAAACATGAACCAGTGGAGGCAGATCTTTCCTTAAATGATGCTATAACTGCAAATGCTGCCAACTGGGCACACTGTTCTACTTTTAGGTGTGCCTATCTAGAAATTTTCATTTGTTGCTATACGGCTTATGCTTCTAATATTAAGGCTACAAATTAAGTAGGTAAGGTTTACCAGTAGGGAAGTTGAGGGAAGGAAAGGAGATAAGAGAACTGGCAATTATTATGCTTATTATTAGAAACTTAAGGAAATAAATGATTGTAATACTGTTTGTACAAATTGTTGAAACTGTATAAATAAAAACACTGCAGGCTATCTGGGGGCAATTTGTTCGAAATAAGTGGTCAGACTTTTTGTTTTGCCTACTTTGCATATCCACCCCAGATCATCAGACCTGTTAAGAGCAATATCTCAGTAAAACTTCATAAAGCTGGGAGGAGAGTTCGTTTTCCCCAGACAAAAGTACAAGAATTGACTGAACAGAGCCAACAGGCCTGAAATCATTCACATAAGTAACATAATATAGACTGGAGGGGCTACATTTAAAAGTAGTACTAATGAAAGAAAAAAAGTGGCCATGAATTTTAAGAAATGTGAGGAGAGGTATAGAGAGGCCTTAGAGAAAGCGGAAGGGGGGAAATGTGGAATTAAAATACAATCTCAAAGAAAAAAAAACAGCCTATTTAACCAAAGCAGAACCATCACTATTCAGAAACCCTATATGAACATCATCAATACTGAACGGCTAAAGACAGAACTTTTAGCCCCACAAAGTCTGTCAAATATGTGGCAAACTGGAGAAAGGGGGAAAAAAAACTTTCACAGACTTTTTAAGACAGACAAGATTTTCAGAGGAAGAAATAGTACCACCAGTTCACCTACAAATACATAAGTCCTACCATATATAAAAAACCTAAATAAACAAAAGCAGGTTGTCACTAGAAATTAATAGACTCATAGAAATGCCAATTGCAAAAGTCACTAAAATTGGAAAAGATTAAAGACTTCAATAGGATATGAAAATAATAATGACCTGGAAAACAAAAAGTAAATGTGGTAAAAAACCAAATTCAGGACTGATATCGGTAAAATAAAAACAAAACATACAAATAATCTAAAAAAAAACATGAAAAAGATTGACAATCTTTGAAAACAAACAAAAATAAAGATATAGAAGAGAGAGATTTCTTCAGTGAATACCAATGAAACTTTGTACTCCAAAGAACTAAAAGGGTAAATTTGTTGATATATATATATTACCAAAGTTAAATCAAATCAAAATCTAGCAAGCAATTTAAAAGCCACATAATCCCTAATGAGACAGAAGCAGTAATTAAAAAAAATTCCCAACCAAAATATTCCAGGGTCAGGTAAATTTGATACAAAATTCTCCCAGACCTTTAAAAAATAATTAATGTGATAATTCCTCAAATAATTCAAAAATACAGACTAATTTGTTTTACCAGGCCACATAACCTTGATACCTAGACCATGGAAAGATTCAACAACAACAACATTACATACCAGTGTTCGTTGTGACTAGACACAAACTTCTGAAAAAAGAACAATTGCAATAATACTTATTACTTAATATTACCTAAAATTCTAAGTAAATTTGTGCAAACAACTTTCTTGATTTTCCATTCAAATATATTAATATTCCCTATAAAATACACACACATATATATAAAAAATAGAGAATGCTAAATAGTAAGATTTTATTTCATACATAAAAAACAGTCAACAGTACCAATTTTCATGGCAAGAAAAATCTAAAAGCCTAATACTGACGCAACTATTTGAAACATCAGATCCTTCTCTCATAATTGATGTTAAGTCTTAGTTAAACCAAGCATCCCGTTCTGGGAGACACTAAACAATGTTTTAAACCATGCCCTCATATTTTCTGGATTATATATATACACAATTTAAACTTCATACTGAGCTTTATGATGAATCCAAATTAAACATAATAGTATTTTTTAAAAGTATGTGAGTCTTTTGTTATTGTTTAGATCTGATGATACATACTTTCATTTACTCCGGAATTTTTTTTGTGCTTGTGTGCCTAAATATATGGCTTCTGAGTTTTTAATAATGGATATGTACTTGTACACTCCTGCTGTACAGGTAAGAGATCAACTTTGAATGTTGTTCTTTAGGAACCATCACCTTTTTGCCAAGTTCTTAGATAAGTTGGCAAGCAAGCCCCAGAAATTATTATCTTAAACTCACCTGGGCTGGTATTAAAAGTGTGCATTGCTACATCTTGTTTCTTATATGGTTATTAAGACTCTACACTCCTATGAAGATATTTTTAAATTTTAATTTCAAATTCAAAGTTTTTCAGCTTGAGAGTACAAAATTTTGAAATATATCTTTATAATTTTCTGAATTTCCTTGGTGTCCATCCCTACCTTTTATCACTATGTGTTATACTTCATATAGTAATAGCCAATAAAAACTCATTTTTGAACTGCAGATTAATCTGCTTAGTTAAATTTATATTATTTTAGAAATAAATTAGCTTTGAAGAATTTAATACAAAATAAGATTCAGTAATGCAAATCAGAACTAGTAAGCAAAATTTTTGTTTAGAATTCTAGAATCTTTATTTCTAGTTGGTTGATTTGCAATTTGTTTCAAAATGAGGATTTTCTTCATAAAATCATGGAATTAGATTTGAGAAACTGAAAGAATTTAAACACTAGTTTTAACTACTGGGTATTTAAAACACCTAGCATCATTTAGTACTTCTAACTGTTCACTTGTGTGTTTATATACATATGCCACTGCAACTCACTGGAATATGGAATCCACCTGGAATACTGGATCTAATCTTAAGTAGGTAGGCTTTTTTTTTCCATTTTTTTTTTATTTTTTAAAACGTTTTGTTGTTTTATTATTTTTTTAAAAATAAATTCAGTGTTCACATTCCTATAAAGAATTAATGCAGTTTCAGGATACCTGCCCCGCTGGGGCAGGAGAACAGTTCTTTTCCCAGCCTGCCTCTAGTCTGACTGCCCACCCTGATGCTTCGAGGTGCCTGGAAAAGCCGAAAGCCTGTGGAAGAGGTCTGTTCCCTGCCGGGGCGAAAACCCTGGCTCAGTAAGCTTTGGAGAAAGCAGAGGGGAAGATGAGCTTACTGCAAAACTTTTGCTAAAAAATATTCACACACGTCAATGTGTACGCCTGTCAAGACGCTGAGGAGAACAAGAGCTTGGAGACATCCCGTCCAGGCTGTGTGTGTGGGGTGGCAGCACCCTCACACCCGCCTGTCCTTGGACGTGGGGTGTGGGGGAGTCCTGGCTTTCATCTTGGGCTTCCTAGTTCATGTTCCACTCCATTCTCTACACCTGTGCCGGCCAAGTCCTCCACTGCGCGGGAAGCACAAACGCTCAATTGTATGCAAAAAAGTACAAAAACAACGAGAATATAAAAGTTTTGGTAATATAAGGCCATCTGTTCAAGTCCACCTTGGAAACCTGTAACAGATATTTAAATACTACATGAAAAGGCATCTTTAAAAGACTTTTTAAAAACATCTGAAGTAATTAGCTAAGAGTAAGTGTGTGTAAAACAAATCATTTCCCTTTGAGGGCACTTTGTCCTTTGAAGGAGGCAGAGTGGCAGGGAGGCCCTATGGTTAATGCTTCAGCCAAGGATAAGCCTCAATGGAGGCCTTGCTGCAGTCTCCATAGTCGAACAGGATCTCTTCCCCAGCTGCAATGTCACGGGAGGCGATGAGGATGAGGTGAGGCACGCCATCAATGTCATGCAGTTTGGTCTTGCAATTCCCATACCTACTATGATTGATCAGCCTTCCGAGGCGATTAGTTTCTCGAGTGGCATCCACGCAGTAGGTTTTGCTCCGATACTGAAAATAGTACATGTAGCAGCCTCTGGAGGGGTCTTGTGCATACAGAGCCTCCCGCTTCTTGGCATCGGAGATCTCAATGAGGTCCCCATGGTATTCTACCACAAAGTCTTCCCGGGAGAACTGCTTGGTGGCAATTACACCCCGGCCTTTTCCATCAATGAGATCAATCTTCATGCCTTCATCCTTCCTGCTCTCAATCAGTTCATCAATTTTTTTCTTTTCTTCAGACTGTAGCTCAGCCTTGCTCTTCCTGGAGCTCCTTCGCACCAGGTAGAAATCTGTAAGCTTTCTATTTTGCTGTGTTTTCCCTTGAGACTTTTTCCGAGGTGCCTGTTTGCCCTTGAGGGGCTTTTTCAGGGCCTGCTTGGCAACCACTGTATTGGTAGAATCACATGACGGGGGTGGAGTTTTTGGAGGCTCTGCTGCTTCAGATTTTTGGTTTGGAAAAGGAGCCAGGGGACCTCTCCTGGCCTCTTTGATTTTCTGTTCATCAGACTTCACTGAGCTTCGGATTGTATTCCCAGCATTTCTTTTCTCTTCTAGCTTCCTGTAGATTCCAGCTAATGGTTTCCCCTGGCTTTTGACCTCATGGTGTGCAACTGAGTTCTCTTCCTGAAGAGGGAAGCGCATCCCAGAGTACTTGTTTGGACTCATGTAGGCATAGATCTTTGACTGCCCCGCAAACACGTTCTCCTGCAGCCCAGCTAGGCCCATGGTGGCGCAGCCGGTGCCCTCGCCCTTGCTGCGGCCCGGCCACCAGCGCTGTCGCTGGGGCCTGGAGCGAGGCCTGGGTAGATAGGCTTTTTAAAAAGAACTTTATCCACTGACCCATCTCATTCTACTTTAGTACTTTCTATTTAACAACAACAAAAAATTATAACAATTGCCTTAATTTTGGCTAACCATTACTATGAAGACTTACAAATATTACACACACACAAATATATATATATATATACTCATGACTATACCATTTCTAAGATAACATAGTATTTCAAATTGTATAAAGGAGAATCATAACATAATCATAAACCAGTTAACCATCAGACACTATAAATTTTGTTTTGCACTTAAATTATTTCAGAAATAACAAAAATGAAACTGTAAGGCAAATATCAAAGCTGTTATTCTTTTGGTCCCTGCCCTAGCCACGCCCACTCCTTTTTAACCTCGGACCTCACCCGCCATCACTTTCACCATTACTCTCCCAGTGTACACATGGGGCTTTGCCTCTCTCCTCCTCCTCCTCCTGCTCCTCTCTCTCATTAGCCCTCATTGTTCGCCATGCTCAGAGAGTCCAGTTTTATCCCATGCTTTTTCAGTCACAGTCCAGCTGGTCTTGGTGAGCTCCCAATAGATCAGCTCCACTGTCTCAGTGGGTGGGTGCACCCCTCGTGGTCCCGACTTCTTTACTCATGTTCTCCCTCCTTCTGCTCCTCATTGGGACCTTGGGAGCTCAATCCAGTGCTCCAGTGTGGGTCTCTATCTCTATCTCCATCCATCTCCAGATGAAGGTTCTATGATGATATGCAAGATATTCGTCAGTATTGCTATAGGCTAGGTCATTTCCGGTTCCCTATCCTCAGCTGCCCAAGAAACTAACTGGGGACCTCGGCTTGGGCTCCTGGGAGCCACTCTAGGTTCAAGTCTCTTGCCAACCCTAAGGTGGTTCCCTTAACTAAGAGTTGTGCTTCCGTGCTCCCCTATCCAACCTTACTTTATTCCAACCCTCCTTTTCCTCAAGTTCCCCCCATTCTCCCCTTCTCCCTTTTCTCTCGCCATCTCCCCTTACCCCCATCCCACCCCACCCCCAAGATCTCTATTTTCTCCCCGGCCATTTTGTCTAATTCCCATAGCCAAGAGGACAACTATATGTTTTTCCTTTGGTTCACCTTCTTACTTAGCTTCTTTGGGATCACCAATTGTATACTCCATGACCCTTGTTTATGGCTAGAAACCAATTATGAGTAAGTACATCCCATGTTCATCTTTTTGGGTCTGGGATACCTCACTCAGGATAGTGTTTTCTATTTCCATCCATTTGCATGCAAAATTCGCGAAGTCATTGTTTTTTACCTCAACATAGTACTCTAATGTGTAGATATTCCACACTTTCTTCATCCATTCTTCCATTGAAGGGCATATAGGTTGTTTCCAGGTTCTGGCTATTACAAATAATACTGCTATGAACATAGTTGAACAAATGCTCTTGTCACCTGATCGGGCATCTCTTGGGTATATTCCCAAGAGTGGTATTGCTGGGTCCAGGGGTAGGTTGATCCCGAATTTCCTGAGAAACCGAAACACCGATTTCCAAAGTGGATGCACAAGATTGCATTCCCACCAGCAATGGATGAGGGTACCCCTTCCTCCACAGCCTCTCCAGCAAAGGCTATCATTGGAGTTTTTTATTTTAGCCATTCTGACAGGTGTAAGATGATATCTCAAAGTTGTTTTGATTTGCATTTCCCTGATCGCTAAGGAGGTTGAGCATGACCTTAAGTGTCTCTTGGCCATTTGAACTTCCTCTGCTGAGAATTCTCTGTTCAGTTCAGTGAGCCATTTTCTAATTGGGTTAATTAGCATTTTAAAGTCTAGTTTCCTGAGTTCTCAATATATTTTGGAGATCAGACCTTTGTCTGTTGAGGGGTTGGTGAAAATCTTCTCCCAGTCAGTAGGTTGCCTTTTTGTCTTGGTGACAGTGTCCTTTGCTTTACAGAAGCTTCTCAGTTTTTTAGGTCCCATTTATTCAAAGTTGCCCTTAATGTCTGTGCTGTTGGGGTTACACATAGGAAGCGATCTCCTGTCCCCATCTCCTGTAGGGTACTTCCCACTTTCTCTTCTATCAGGTTCAATGTGTTCTGACGTTTGTGGGTTAAAATCCGGGTCTTCTATACGATTCCATTGGTCGACTTCTCTGTTTTTATGCCAGTACCACACTGTTTTCATCACTGTAGCTCTGTAATAGAGTTTGAAGTCAGGGATGGTAATGCCTCCAGACAATCCTTTATTGTATAGGATTGTTTTTGCTATCCTGGGCTTTTTGTTTTTCCATATAAAGTTGATTATTGTCCTCTCAAGATCTGTGAAGAATTTTGATGGGATCTTGATGGGGATTGCATTGAATCTATAAATTGCCTTTGGTAGAATTGCCATTTTTAATATGTTGATCCTCCCAATCCAAGAGCAAGGGAGGTCCTTCCATTTTCTGGTATACTCAGTTTCTTTCTTCAATGCCTTAAAGTTCTTGTCAAATAGATCTTTCACTTCCTTGGTTAGAGTTACCCCAAGATATTTTATGCTGTTTGTGGCTATCGTGAAAGGTGAAGCTTCTTTGATTTCCCTCTCTGCATCCATATCCTTTGTGTATAAGAGGGCGACTGATTTTTTGGAGTTGATCTTGTATTCTGCCACGTTACTAAAGGTGTTTATCAGCTGTAAATGTTCTTTGGTGGAGTTTTGGGGGTCGCTTATGTAAACTATCATATCATCTGCAAATAACGAAAGTTTAACTTCTTCCTTTCCAATTTGAAACCCCTTGATCCCCTTATGTTGTCTTATTGCTATTGCTAGAACTTCAAGCACTATATTGAAGAGGTATGGCGAGAGTGGGCAGCCTTGTCGTGTTCCTGAGTTTAGTGGGATGGCTTTAAGTTTCTCTCCATTTAATTTGATGTTAGCTTTCGGCTTGCTGTATATAGCTTTTATTATATTTAGGTATGACCCTTGTATCCCTAATCTCTCCAAGACTTTTTATCATAAAGGGATGTTTAATTTTGTCAAATGCTTTTTCAGCATCTAATGAAATGATCATATGGTTTTTTTCTTTCAGTTTATTTATATGATGGATTACAGTGATAGATTTGCGAATGTTGAACCAGCCCTACATCCCTGGGATGAAGCCTACTTGATCATAATGGATAATTTTTCTAATGTGTTCTTGGATACGGATTGCCAGTATTTTGTTGAGGATTTTTGCGTCGATGTTCATGAGTGAGATTGGCCTGTAATTCTCTTTCTTGGTCGAGTCTTTGTGTGGTTGTGGTATCAGAATGACTGTAGCTTCATAAAAGGAATTTGGCAATGACTCTCCTGTTTCTATATTGTGAAATACATTAAGGAGTATAGGTATTAGTTCTTCTTGGAAGTTCTGGTAGAATTCCACATTGAAACCATCTGGTCCTCGGCTTTTTTTGGTAGGGAGGTTTTTGATAACCTCTTCTAATTCTTCGCGACTAACAGGTCTATTTAGATTGTTCACCTGGTTCTGGTTTAACTTTGGTATATGGTATTTATCTAAAAAAGTGTCCATTTCCTTTACATTTTCCAGTTTTGTTGCATATAGGCTTTTGTAGTAAGATCTAATGATTCTCTGAAATTCCTCTGTCTCTGTGGTTATGTCCCCCTTTTCATTTCTGATCTTATTAATTTGTAAATTCTCTCTCTGCCGTTTGATTAGTTTGGATAGGGGTTTATCAATCTTGTTGATTTTCTCCAGGAACCAGCTTTTTGTTTCATTGATTCTTTGGATTGTTTTCTGTGTTTCTATTTTGTTGATTTCAGCCCTCAGTTTGATTATTTCCAGTCTTCTACTCCTCCTAGGTGAGTCTGCTTCTTTTTTTTTTTCTAGAGCTTTCAGGTGGGCTGTTAAGTCTCCAATGTGAGCTTTCTCTGTTTTCTTTAAGTGGGCACTTAGTGCTATGAACTTTCCTCTCAGAACTGCTTTCATAGTGTCCCATAAGTTTAAGTATGTTGTTTCTTTATTTTCATTGAATTCCAGGAAGACTTTAATTTCTTTCTTAATTTCTTCCTTAATCCAGGTATGGTTCAGTAGATGACTGTTCAGTTTCCATGAGTTTGTAGGCTTTCTGGGGGTAGCATTGTTGTTGAATTCTAACTTTAATCCATGGTGATCTGATAAGACACAGGTGGTTACTAATATTGTTTTGTAACTGTGGATGTTTGCTTTGTTACCGAGTATGTGGTCGATTTTTGAGAAGGTTCCAGGAGCTGCAGAGAAGAAGGTATATTCTTTCCTCTTTGGGTGAAAAGTTCTATAGATGTCTGTTAAGTCCATTTGATTCATTACCTCCATTAATTCTATTATTTCTCTGTTAGGTTTCTGTCTGATTGACCTGTCCATTGGTGAGAGAGGAGTGTTGAAGTCTCCTACTATTAGTGTGTGCGGTTTGATGGCTGCCTTGAGTTTTAGCAATGTTTCTTTTATGTACGTGGGTGCTTTTATATTAGGGGCATAGATGTTCAGGATTGAGACTTCATCCTGATGAATTGTTCCTGTTATGAGTATAAAATGCCCCTCTCCATCTCTTCTGATTGATTTAAATTTGACGTCTACGTTGTTAGAGATTAGTATGACCACACCTGCTTGTTTCTTAGGTCCATTTGCTTGATAAGCCTTTCCCCAGCCCTTTACTCTGAGTAGGTGCCTGTCTTTGTGGTTGAGTTGTGTTTCTTTTAAACAGCAGAATGTTGGATCCGGTTTTCGTATCCAATCTCTTACCCTGTGCCTTTTAATAGGTGAATTAAGTCATTGACATTATGTGATGTTAATGACCAGTGGTTGTTAACGCTGGTCATTTTTTTAGTAGTAGAATTTGTGTGTTTCCCTTCTTTGTTTTGTGTTTGTGAAGGGTCTCTAGATGTCTGAGTTATTGTGGTCATTGTTGGACTCCTTGGTTAGTGATTTTACTTCTATTACTTTCTGTAAGGCTGGATTTGTGGCTGCGTATTGTTTAAATTTGTTTTTATCCTGGAAAATTTTATTTTCTCCATTTATAGTGAACGAAAGCTTGGCTGGATATAGTAGTCTGGGCTTGCATCCATGGTCTCTTAGTTTCTGTAGTACATCTATCCAGGACCTTCTGGCTTTCATGGTTTCCATGGAGAAGTCAGGTGTAAGTCTGATAGGTTTACCTTTGTAAGTAATTTGGCCTTTTTCCTTTGTAGCTCTTAATATTCTTTCCTTATTCTCTATGCTTTGTGTTTTGATTATTATATGGCGAGGGGATTTTTTTTTTTTGATCCAGCGTATTCGGTGTTCTGTATGCTTCTTGCACCTTCATAGGTATATCTTTCTTTAGGTTGGGAAAGTTTTCTTCTATAATTTTATTAAATATATTTTCTGGATCATTGAGCTGCACTGCTTCTCCTTCTTCTACTCCTATTATTCTTAGGTTTGGTCTTTTTATTGTGTCCCATATTTCCTGAATATTCTGTGATGAGAGTTTGTTGGACTTGCTGTTTTCTTTGATCAGTGTGTTTATTTTCTCTATGGTATCTTCAGAATCTGAGATTCTTTCATCTAACTCTTGTATTCTGTTGGTTATGCTTGTTTCTGTAGACTCTGTTTGTTTACTTAAATTTTCCATGTCCAGCGGGCCCTCTGTTTGTGTTTTCTTCTTTGCCTCCAGTTCAGTTTTCAAGTCTTGAACTGTTTCCATTATTTGTTTGATTGTTTTTCCTTGGTTTTCTAGGGTATCATTCACTGATTTATTCAATTCTTCAAACTTTCTGTTATATTTCTCATCCATTTCTATAAGGGCGTTTTTTACATGCTTTTTAAGGGCATCAATCACTTTCATGAAGTCAATCTTTTCTACTTCTTCTTGATTAAGGTGTTCATGTCCTCCCGTTGTGAGGTCACTGGTTTCTGGTGGCTTCATGTTGCTTTTCAACTTGTTGGGCGAATTCTTGCCTTGGCGTCTGCCCATCTCTTCTTCCAAATGCTCCCTTATGAATCTTCTTTTACCGGATCAGGTCTCCTTGCCTACCCAACGCTGGCTCTCCCCAACGTTGGCTCTCCCCAATGCTGTCTCTTCTGGCGCCAAGAGATCAGGCCTCCGTACTAGTGGGCAGGTCGCAAACAAAGTGCCTACCCTGCTTGGTGCAGGCAGGCGATAGAAACAAAGGGAGTCCCTCCCGCTTGAGTGCCCCAAGGATTCGGACCCAGTGCCCAGACTGGCTGGGCTGGGTGATGTTATGTGAAGAAAGAGGGCAGTGGGGCCGAAGTGGGGAGGGTTCTGGATGGGAGCTGGGTGGGCTAGGAAGAAAGAGGCGGTATACAGGGTGTGGAGGCCCTGCAGATAGCCCAAGAAGGATAGGGGGCCAAGGAACCTCTGAGCTCCCCTTCGGAGGCTGGCGCCCCGGGGCCAGAAACTCACCGCAATGCTGTTTCTCCTGGCGCCGAGAGATCAGGCCTCCGTGCTGGTGGGCAGGTCGCAAACAAAGCGACTACCAAGCTTGGTGCAGGCAGGCGATAGAAACAAAGGGAGTCCCGCCCGCTTGAGTGCCCCGAGGGTTCGGACCCAGTGCCCAGACAGGCTGGGCTGGGTGATGTTATTTGCAGAAAGAGGACAGTGGGGCCGAAGTGGGGAGGGTTCTGGATGGGAGCTGGGTGGGTTAGGAAGAAAGAGGAGGTATGCTGGGAGTGGAGGCCCTGCAGAGAGCCCAAGAAGGATAGGGGGGCCAAGGAACCTCTGAGCTCCCCTTCCCAGGCTGGCACTGTGGGGCCAGAAACTCACCCCAATGCAGGGATCATTTTTTAAGAATAACAAATGGTGCCGTGACTCGGATGATTCGCGCGCCCCGGACTTCTACCCAGGGTGGAGTTCCGGCTTTAGGACACTGAGCTCCCTCCCAGGCAGAATCAGGACCTGAGTACCTTCTCTACAATGACCCACGTGTTCCGTCTGCCTGGTTGCAGCTCCTCCAAACAACAAATCAACTAATCGTGAGTGTCCCCATCTCGGCCAGCTTAACCATCTCTTTTAACCCAAGGGATTGACCGTTGAGCTCCCGGCAACCCCTCACGGTTTTTAGGGATGGGGGGACCTCCAACCGCGGGCTTTCAGGGCCTCGGTTGTTCCCTTCGCTGGCATTCAATTCGGCTTGTCTCCTGTGCTAAGCCTGTGCCTGGGATGGCGTGTCCTTAAGCCAGCCCCTCAGCTCACCCCGGGGTCTCCAGTTCTCCCTCTTTTTCTTTTTTCATTCCTTTTCTTCCTTCTTTTCGTCGTAACTGCTGCTACGGTGCAGCATGTCGCTACAATGCAGCCTGACCTAGGCTGAATCCCTTCTGCCCACGAGTCGACTCAGCTAGGTTATAGCCCCCCCCCCATGGAATCAGACGTCTTTCCATAGGGCCTGGGTGTTCGTGCCTTCTGCATCTTGCCTTAACGGGGAGCCGTTCTCGTTGTAGGCTTGAGGTGCCACGGTTTTTGCAGGTGTTTGCACGGCCTTGACCATGGGAGCCAAGCCATCCAGACCTATCACTCCGGACTCATGCTTTAATGCCTTACACTTATCAGTCTCTGTCCAAATAAATGGCCCCATTAAAACTATACACAGCCATTTTTCAGTTCCAGCCTTTTGCCTCTTCCCTCTGCGGCTTTTGTTGTGGCATGGCGGCTCTCTAACAGAGCAGACTACACGTGGTCTCGCTAAGGACCAGATGGGTCAGGTGACTTTTTCCGCCATCTTGGCTGAGGGCCAGACCACGTGACCACACTCTCCTGGTTTTACCCTGCCTCTTCACTTGGCTTTCACTAAACTCCTCATGCTAACTCTGTTAAATGTGTTTTGAGCAACGGTTAAATGCCTTTGATAGGGCCCGTCAGAGGCGTCTATGTTGCCCAATTCTTGTTCACTCTTTCTACGTATAATAATTTATTACATCTCATTTCAGACTACAAAATATGAGTCTTATATTTTAAACTGATATGTACCTTTAAGCCTCTTAAGCTGTTCTCTACCATTGTCAGTTCTGCCACTAACCTTATATTACGAGCAGTTCTTTCCCTCTCTCTGCCTTTTTACAAATGTAAATCTCACCTGCTGAGAGCCAGTGTGGTCAAGCTCAGACCCAACTTTCCAAACAAATTCTATACTATAGTTATACCTGATAAACAGCCCTCAACTGCTCAGAGATCTGGGGAATGTAATATTTAAGTATTTAATTATTAAAAAAACTTCACAACAACAAAAAAGAGACAGGTTGGCTCCTAGCAGCAGCTCTCTGCTCCCTCCAAAGAAGACAGACACATGCAGAAAAAAGTCCTTCTGCATTTCACTTCAACTACAGAGCGCTGACCCTGCCTTTCGTCTAAAGTAAAGACCTCTCTAGACATGGACGGAATTCCAGCCGAGCTGCTCAGATCAAGGTAGGCCTGTCTTCCTACAGATTTCTTAGCCCACAGGGTCTTCTGGAGCCTGGCAGGCCCTGCGCTAAACAGCAAAGGTCAAGTGCAACCTTCAGCGACCATGGAGGACCCAAAAAAGAGTAGCTCTGGGTGCCAACCAAGTAAGTTCTCTGTCATTTTTTAATCAGTAACTCAAGTAAAATCTTATCCTTCTCAAAGATCTCTGACAGTTTGACAGCTGAGAGGTTTTGCAAGGTGACCTCACCAAACAAATTTCAAACCAAATTTATCTCTTATGCTACAGTCATTATATGTCTAAAATTTCTGCTTTCACAAACCCAAGAAGTTCTTGTGAGTTCCAGGGAGCTGAATTAAAGAATCCATCTTAAACAGGTCAGATACCCCCTCAATCCCCTGGTCCTAAATTTTTTTTTCCCTTAATTTAACTTTGTTCTTTGTTTTGCCAATACCTTAAACAGGATAAAAGATACCAGACATTCCCATGCCACAGACAACGGTCAGAAGCAAAGAGACCAGCTATGCCAGGATGTGACCAACACCCAGCCTTCTCTTGCGCCGCCCCCCCCCCCCAAAGACGATGCCCACAATCAGCCGGAAGCAGTCTTGAGAGTTCGCCGCCCCAGTTCCTTCAAACTGGAGCATCTAATTTGCTTTTTGATTAAAAGCAAGATGTGGGAATGTTATTCTTTCGGTCCCTGCCCTAGCCACGCCCACTCCTTTTTAACCTCTGACCTTTCCCGCCATCGCTCTCTCTCCGTTTCTCTCCCGGTGTACACACGGGGCTTTGCCTCTCTCCTCCCCTCTCTCTCTCTCTCTCTCTCTCTCTCTCTCTCTCTCTCTCTCTCTCTTCCCCTTTCTCTCTTTTTCTCCTTTTTATTTTTTTTTTATTTTTTTATTTTTTGGTTTTTAATAAACACTTATGGCTTCCTTATGTGTTTATGTGTCTGTTACCTGCCCGCCACCGTGCCCTCCTGCTGGTGGGAAGCTGTAGCCGCTTTTCTCATGGTGGGCTCCGCCAGCCCGCTCAGGGATCGTTTTTAAGAATAACAAAAGCAATGGGAGAAAATAGGGATGTCATTATTATACAGTAAAACAAACCTGTTTAAATAAAAAAAGCAATGTTTTCATATGAAATAAAGTCTCTATAGACCTTGCCAAGATATACTAATAATAAAATTTAGTACCTTTATCTCCCTACACACATGAGGTTGTACGAGCAAGAACACACAGAATTTCAAAGAGGTCTATTTAAAAAAAAAAAGTCCTTTAGTATACTCATATTCTAAAACAGAGGTCATCATTCTCATTAACTTTTTCATTAAAGCAAATCCTAAATGATAAGTATTTGTAAAATCTATACATATCTTATAAAATATTAACTTTGCAATTTTTTATGTCCTTAAAAACTATTTACGACAGCAATTATTAACCAGTTGTCACTGCATATGCTGCAACCTAGTCAGACTGAAAGACACTTATGGTCTTTAAAAATAAGCATACATATTTAATAATCAAATACTTTCACAAACTATCAGATATAAAAATTAAAATTTTTTTGTTTCCATGTACAGTGATATATTGAGATTTCTACATATAATACATGTGTTTACAAACACATAAAATACATATATCCATTACATTTGAAAAAGAACATAGAGTGGATCTAGTCTTTAAAACTCAAACATTGAAAAAAATCCTTTAAACAGTAAACAATTGTAATAAAAGTTAATGTCCAATGCTAAATGGCTTTATTTACACATATAAAATGTAATGTATTTGAAATTACACAACTCCTCAATATTTAATGGCATGTAAGTCTAGGAAAAATAACATTCCATTCACAAATATTTTCAAGCAATAAATATATATATAAATTTATATTTGAATCAAGATTAAAAACAAAACAGAATCCTATCAGAAATTTATTTTTCATATGCAACCCATTACATGTTTGTCTTTGCTGTTATTTATTTTTTAATCACATCAAATCATGACTTCAAAATAAGAGACAAGGAGCAGTATAAAACTTTGTCATATTATTTCAAATTTAGAAAATGTTGATAAAATTTTTTAAATTGCTAACTCTCTTGCAAAGAAACAGCCAAGTAGGATTCTATGTAATTCTGGAGAAATTAAAAAAGGTAACATACGAGCATAAATGAATCCAGCAGCCCAGAAATACATTCAAAATGTGTTTGTTAGATATATACAAATAATACGAATATACTAATTTTTTACAAAAATTAAATACATCTGGGTCAACATTATAAATCTTGGAGTAGAAGCTGTACTCTTTGTTTAGTCTCCTTATCCTCTATTCTTGAAAGATTGCATAGACACAGCTTTGAGAGAGCAGTCTTCTGAAATAACAACAAAATAAGAAACATATTTCCTGAAGAACAATGTACTCAATAATTCTGGAACATTATTAAGATGCAGAAGATAACGAAGGAGCCTACAAGTAAAAAAAAAAACCATCATATTATGGTTTTGCTACATAAGTCTGTAAAACTTGACTTTGAAAGAAATAAAATCTTTTTTTATTTATGTGCACTGGTATTTTGCTCTGTGTGAGGGTGTGAGATCTCCTGGAACTGGAATTATAGACAATTTTGAGTTGCCATGTGAGTGCTGGGAACTGAACCCAGATCCTTTGGAAGAGCTGTTAAGATAACAAAATCTCAACAGTCACTCAATGTATCCTGAAGTCAGTTCCCAAGATTCTGCTACCAAAATCTCCATAATTTCTTTTGCAGTTTTCTATTTAATCAAAAACTTTTGGAATATTCAGTTAACATTTAGTTCAAAATGTATACTAAAAAGTTAACATTTTATCAACTACCTATTGGCATAATTATCATTCTGTTCTATTACTTATTTTTGAAGACTCATTATTGTTTTAAATTCTCCCCAAACAAGATGACCGTAAACAATAACAAAATTCAGAAAACAAATTTCATGAGGCCAGCTAGTCTATAAGAGCTAGTGCTGGGACAGACTACAAAGCTACCAAGAAACCCTGTCTTGAAAAACCAAAAAAGAGGGGGGGGGGAATAAAAAGAAAATTCCAATGTAGAAATAATGCCCCTAAAATAATGCATACAACTCAAGTTTCAAAAGTTTCAAAAAACATAACTACTGGGAACAGAAGTAGTGCGACCTCAAATCATATTTATTGAAATTAAAAATCAGTTTTGTACATGGTGTAGATATACATGCAAGCGAACACCCAAACACAATATAATGATAAATAATCTAAAACACAAACAAAAAACTGTTTAATTCATCACAGAATGTTATCATATGAATTTTACATTTACTCTGGTTCCAAAAAATACTCCCATGATATAACAAGTAGAAGTGTTATATCTTGAATAAATATTGAAAAAGATTAAAATAAACATACTTCCATCTGGATATTAACTACAATAGAATTAATTAACTATCAACTAGGATCAATAACATATAGGTTGTAATATCCTAAATAGCAAAAGAGGACAACATTCTCATATATGTGTATGTGTGTGTGTATGTGTTATAAATTAAAAGGTGATGTGAAATAGACCACACGATACAGCTTACATAGATGGCTTCTTTTAATTGGGGTAAAGGGAATGGAAAAAGGGGTAAGGGAAGGGAAAAAACAACCTCTGAAGACAGCAATACAGGAGAGACAAGCAAAGGGGGGAATGGAGAAAAAGAGGGAGGGAGGGAGGGAGGGAGGGAGGGAGGGAGGGAGGGAGGGAAGGAGGGAAGAAGGGAGGGAGGGGTGGACATATTGGTACATTACAAGAAAGTTAATTAGATACTGACACTTTATATAAAATAACTTACTAATGTAAACTGGTCATAGACTTGCATCAAGTCCTCCATTTTGTACTGTTCTAGCACCACAAAATTTTCCAAATTTCCACTCGCTTTTTGTGCACAGTTCTGACAATGTACTATATATGTCTTTTGAGAATTGCTTTCATTAGTAACAAAAAGCAAGTTAAATACTTCCACCTATTTTTACACAAGAGAAAGAAGCAATAAATAAATAGCTGGAATTTAAACATCTGGCTAGAAGAAAGAACTAAAAAGATATCAATAAATACAATGAGATATCATCTATAATTAACACAGACCTAGAAGATTGAAATAGTCTTTTCCATTGAAGATTCATATTAAGATAGTTAAGTATTTGTCAAAAGACTAATTAAAGCTTATAGTGGCTTCATTAGTATTCATTTATTTTATTTTATTCATTTATTTTACTCTAAACATGTATATAATCAGATAAAAAATATTTTCCTATAATAATTCCTCATAATTTATCACTCAGTGTTTGTCTTCATTCTAGCTAGAAACCTTTAATAATTTACATAATTTACATGGAAAAAAAAACAGATAAGCAAAAACAACCCAACAACATACTTAAATGAATATAATTTGTAGTGTTTAAAAATTAGGAAACTTTAGTGTGACTCAGAAAAGTGTTCTAGCTTTCTTCCTCTTATATTAATGAAAACAAGTACAAATAAATGGGCATTCCAGAGCATTAACATGATGGTAGGTACATTTTAAAAAGAATGGAGAATTAAATAGGCTTAGATACAATAAGATAAAGATTATGTGCTAATACCAGGAAAGATACAGATCCACTTTTTTTTTGTATAAAACAAGCTATCATTTCCTTGATGCCATAACTTTTCCTTCTCCCCGATGATACCAACTTCCCTAAACCATCAAACTCCATACATGTTTGCTAACCTTTCTTCCCAAACAAAATGAAACTCAAAACAAAAGAAATAAAATTTAAATGCCTTTAATTTCTAGATTAAAAGTAAAACTCCCATTTCTTTTCTACTTCACCATTGATATCCAATCATTATATCTTAGAAAGCTCCATCAAAATCCAATGTTTTTTTTTAATATTTCCTAGACCTTCCAATATGTTACTAACAATATTCTAGTATCCTGAGTTTAAAAGACTTGGTCATGTTCAACCTGTCATCTAGTTTTATCTAATTCATTCTGTTTTTAAATAAACTGCATAACAATTAAAAAAAAACAAAATATTTAATATGCACCCTATATGTACACAAGTATGCTTGTCAAGGGACAATTCTGTAGTGTTTGATCATCAGACTTCCACTACCAAGTGACAAGTGGTTTTCTTTACTTGCTGAACCATCTTGGTCCCTCTATAGCAACTATGTCTGAAGTTCATTCCAACAATTTCCGAATAAATGACAATTCTGTCTATACTATCTCCAATTATCAAATACTTCAATTATTTCAGAGTAGCACATATTTTAAATATATCTACCAATATTCATAGTATTATAAGAATCTGAGGCCTCTCTTGAGCTAAACATGTATCTTAGAAGTACGCTCTCACTTGGTATGAACAAGTCCATTCCATCCGAAACATTTTTCCTATACCCAGAAAAAAAAAAGACTATTTTCACCCCACTGCTTACCTGCTTACTTTTTTTGACCTTTGAATATGCCCAAAGCCTGAAGATATTCTACAACAGTCAACTGTTGACTGATGAAATTGAACTCAGCCCTCAAATAAAGATGAATGGTGGGAAGCCTGCACTTTTATCTGAATTAGAAAAACCACCTTTTCTCAGTATTGATCAGTTTGTCTGTTATGCCTGGCTTCATAGTCATTAGTCATATATATATATATATATATATATATATATATATATATATATATATGTGTATGTGTGTGTGTGTGTGTGTGTGTGTGTGTGTGTGAGTGTGTGTGTGTGTGTGTGTGTGTGTGTTAGTACATTCATTGGTTGTTTATAATTGGTGTTCTGGTAAAGTGAAAAGTGCTTTTCCCCTAGTGATAGTAAACAAATCCCAAAAGTCAGTCATGCTATATAATGTGCCACTTACCTTGGTATTGTGACTAAAACCTAACAGAAATTCAGTATAGAATTACTTATATTTCTTCATATTAGACTCAAAAATTCTAGAATGTGACACTGCAATTTTGCACCAGGAATATTCACCTAGTATTAAAAGTACTGTAAAAGACTTAGTAACTTTTTGTACTACACTAAATCTAGTCTTCCAGCACCTGTACTTTTTGATATGTATTAATGCTAGTTGAAATTCTAAGGTAATTGTCATTTGGCAAAGAGTTATTGCATGTATGCCTATTTTAGAAGAAAGTGCAGTCCAATATTAAAGGTGAAATATTTTATTTTTAGGTAAGAATTTAAAATAACCATAATATGTGATTTTAATAAGAATCATGACAAAGATATAAATGATTTTATATTTTATAAAGATTAGGTACTTAGAAAAATTAACCCATCTAATGCTGATATATAATACCTATTATCACTGAAGCTTGTAGATATAAGAACTTCCAGAGTTCAAAGTCACTGACGGTTACATGAGACCATGTCTCAAAATCCAAATAAATCAATGAACCTGTAACATTAAAGAATTTACAAGAATATAACAAAATTAAGAAATGTTACTTACCTCACAGATACTACAATAAGGGGCTGGTTCATCATTTATCCGCCCATGCCATAGAACCTCTTTCCCTGCTGCAACAAGAGCTTCTCTCAAAGTCTGACATTGCTTTAGAATTTTTAAGAGACAATATCTACAATTGAAGACATTTTTAAGAGAAATTGAAAAGTGAATATTAAGAATTTTAGATTCTCCTTCACCATAGTCAATCTCCTGGCAAAGTCCAGTCACACATCCTAGGCTCCAGGCTCATTTTAGTAAGTCTACCTGAGGCTACCAATCAGCATTCTTTCAAATCCTCAGACCTATTACTAGTCCCATATCCAGTGTCCCAGGCCTACATATAGCATGCCCAATCTCCAGACCTAGGGTCACAACATACATCCTTGGTGCTGATCCAGCCCTCTGTATTAGCACTTGCAAATAAAGTACAGGCAGGCAATCAACATGTATCAATAATGACTTCAAATAACAGAGCGTTAGGCTGCTTGAATTGATTTAAAAAAATTTATATCTTTCTGCCATCTACAAAAACAAGAAGACAAAAGAAAAACCTCAGTTTTGAAGATACAAACCAAATTGAACTGAAAAGAAACAAAATAGTATTCCAATTAAATGGCACCAATAAGCAGGCAGGTGTTGCTATCTTAATATCAGAAAATAAAGATTTCATACTAAAACTAGTCAAAAGAGACAGCACTCTAATCAAGGGAATAACAAACCAAGAAGATATTATAATCCTAACCATATATTCACCAAACACCATTGCAAACAATTTAAATTTAAATTTAAAAATGTGCTACTAAAAGAAAAAACACAGATCAACTACAAACCAATACTGGTAGATGATATGAAAACCTACTTTCTCCAATATACAGGTACTTTGAAAAAACAACAGAAAAACCAGGATTAAATGACATCCTACATCAACTGAACATACCATATACATACAGAATATTCTACCTAAAAACTAATAAATATATATTCTTCTCAGCAGTCTATAGAAATTTCTCTAAAACAATGACATTCTGAGATACTAAATGAATCTTTAAAATTAGAAAAATATTAAATACTTTCATGTATATTATCTGACCATCATGAAAACAAATCTTCAGTAAATACAAACATCTATGGAGATTAAACAAATCATTACTGAAATATAAATAGATCAAAAGCATTTTAAAAATCTGGTGCTACACTGAACCTGATAGAAGAGAAAGTGGGAAGTACTCTACAACATATGGGCACAGGAGATCGCTTCCTATGTATAACCCCAGCAGCACAGACATTAAGGGCAACATTGAATAAATGGGACCTCCTGAAACTGAGAAGCTTCTGTAAAGCAAAGGACACTGTCACTAAGACAAAAAGGCAACCCACTGACTGGGAGAAGATCTTCACCAACCCCGCAACAGACAAAGGTCTGATCTCCAAAATATATAAAGAACTCAAGAAACTAGACTTTAAAAAGCTAATTAACCCAATTAAAAAAATGGGGCACTGAACTGAACAGAGAATTTTCAACAGAAGAAGTTCAAATGGCTAAAAGACACTTAAGGTCATGCTCAACCTCCTTAGCAATCAGGGAAATGCAAATCAAAACAACTTTGAGATATCATCTTACACCTGTCAGAATGGCTAAAATCAAAAACTCCATGATAGCCTTTGTTGGAGAGGCTGTGGAGGAAGGGGCACACTCATCCATTACTGGTGGGAATGCAAACTTGTGCAACCACTTTGGAAATCAGTTTGGCTGTTTCTCAGGAAATTTAGGATCAACCTACCCCTGGACCCAGCAATACCACTCTTGGGAATATACCTAAGAGATGTGCTATCATATTACAAAAGCATTTGATCAACTATGTTCATCGCAGCATCATTTGTAATAGCCAGAACCTGGAAACAATCTAGATGCCCTTCAATGGAAGAATGAATGAAGAAAGTGTGGAATATATACACAGTAGAGTACTATGCTGCGGAAAAAAAAAAAAAACAATGACACCTTGAATCTTGCATGCAAATGGATGGAAATAGAAAACACTATCCTGAGTGAGGTAACCCAGTACAAAAAGATGAACATGGGATGTACTCACTCAGTAGTGGACTCTAGCCATAAACCAAGAACACTGAGCCTATAATTTGAGATCCTAGAGAATCTAAATAAGAAGCTTAACCCAAAGAAAAACATATAGTCTTCCTCCTTGATATTGGAAATAGACAAGATTGCTGGGTAAAAATGGAAACTTGGGAGTGGGTTGGGATGGGGGTAAGGGGAAATGGGGAGAGAAAATTGAGAAGGGGAGGATGGGGAGAGCTTGGGGGAATGGGATGGTTGGGATAAAGGAAGGGTGGATAGGGGAGCAGGAAAGTATATATCTTAACATATCTGAACATGACGGACAATGAAGGCTGCTGAGAAGTCAAGGACAATGGCACTGGGTTTTGATCCTACTGCATATACTGGCTTTGTGAGAGTCTAGCCTGTTTGGATGCTCACCTTCCTAGACCTGGATGAATGGGGGAGGACCTTGGACTTCCCACAGAGCAGGGAACCCTGACTGCTCTTCATACTGGAGAGGGAGGTGTAGGAAAGTAAGGGGGTAGGAGGGGAGAGAGGGGGGAGTAGGCAGAAATTTTTAATAAAAAAAAAAAATCTGTTGCTAAATCTCTGGGACAAAGCTTGAAAAACTGGCTGAGTGCGTAAAATGATCCAGATTTTATTCCTAGCATAAACACAGAACTCACCACCATTTGTAACTCCAATACCAGGGACCCTATGCCACCTTCCGGCCACCAAGAACATTATTCACATGTTGAGCAAAGATAAGAAGACAAATCACCCATAAACACACAAAAACACAAAACCTTTTCATTTATAAAAACAAAAGAATAAAACAACCTAAATAGAAGTGATAGGGAAATGTATGAACAACAAAGAGCACTGTAGAAGACATGGGTTCTATTCCCAGATCCAACATGGCAGATCAAACCATCTGCAATTCTAGTATCAGAGGATCTATATCTTGTTGTCCTTTACTAGGTACCAGGTTGGCAAAAAATACATAACAAAAAAAAAAAAAAAAAAACCCAGGTCTGAAAGCATGCTTCTACAAATCAACTCAAGAATTGTTAGAAACAATGGGAGGAAAGATTGTTAAGAGCCAGTCAAATGAAAAGTTTGCTATGAGAATGTGTTTCCTGGTTATGTCAGAAGTTACATCCAAACATCTCACCAACATAACTGCATAATCATGAGATGAACAATAACAACAAAAATAAACAAGACAAAGAAGACAGAAAAAAGCCCGGGGGTGGGTGGTGGGAGGCACTCAATTATACACAAAGAACTCCAGGCAACTAAGGAATGCTGGAAGCAGAGGAAAATCTTTTCTGGGGAAGAAAACACCAATTGATTATGCAATAGCAAGTGGCCATCCCTAAAAGCATACATACATAAAGATTAAGCAAGTATTATGTGATGTGTGATTTCTCTCTGTATGTCATGAATATGTTTTATTACCATTGGTTGTTGACAAAGCTGTTTTGGCTAATAGCTTAGTAAAGACAGGTGGGAAAGAAATTCAAACAGAAATATAGAAAGTAGGTGGAGTCAGAGATATGCCTTGTAGCTGCCAAAGCAGGACATGCCTAAACATTACCAGTAGGCCAGTCTTGTATGACACACAGATTAATAGAAATGGGTAAATTTAAGATATGCCTAAGCTATTGGCCAATACAGTTGTAATTACTGTAGCTTCTGTGTTATTATTATTCAGGTCTGAGCCACCAGGAAACAAATGAGCAGTTACTGTCTACAATTATGTATTTAGAAATAACACACACACACACACACACACACACACACACACACACACACACATGCACGCACGCACGCACGCACACACACAAACACACACCAATTAAAGCCAAGAATTTGAGGGGGAGCAAAAAGTAAGGAGATGGCTTGGAAGGAGAAAGGGTAAGGAAAAATGATAAAACCATAATTTCAAAAGATAAAAAAAAAATTTTTAAAGCTCGGGGACACACAAAATCAACTCTGAGATATTTACTGCTTTTAGCCTTAACTATCTACATTTAGTCTGTAAGAGCAGAAATAAATGACATAATAATGAAACTCAAGAACTTGGAAAAACAGGAACAAACCAGTAGATGCTAATAAATAATAACAGAGCAGAGATTAAGAAAAGATAAATAGGCATGCAGTGGCGGCGCACATCTTTAATCCCAGCACTTGGGAGGCAGAGGCTGGCAGATCTCTTTGAGTTCTAGGAGTCTGGCCTACAAGAGCTATTTCTAGGGCAGGCACCAAAGCTGCAGAGAAACCTTGTCTCAAAAAGAAAAAAAAAAAAGAAAAAAAAAGAAAAAGAAAGAAAAGAAAACAAAAGAGAAACAAAGAAGACAAAACAGAGAATCAATAATCTAAAACCTTGCATTTTGAAAATATAAACAAAATCATCAACTATCCAAAAGAAAGAGATGACTTAAATTAACAGGGTCCAGAATGAACAGTAAAACATTATAGCAGACGCGCACACAAACACAAACACACACACAAAAACCCACTGTAATAATTAAGAAAAAATACTTCTAAAAATTTAATTAATCTATAATTAATCCATTAATCTATAAAACCTAAAATTTTAGATTCATTCTTACCAACATAAAAAGCAATAAACTAGATTCATTACAGATGAAGAGATTTAAACAGTATTGAATAGCTTTCTGACCAAAACAAAACCAGTCCTGATGGGTTTGCAGCAAAATTATACAATTGTTTTTAAAATATCTACAAGCAATACTTCAGAACACTTAAAAAGAAACAAAACAGAACATATCTAAACTTCTTCAATGCAACCAACATTACCATAAAAAAGCACGTTAGGACAAAATAAAGCAAAAAATAGCTGCAGAAAAGTACTTTCTAATTTCATTCTCCAAGAAACTAAGGCCAACATTTGACAAACAGGACCTCATAAAACAACCTTCTGCACAGTTAATGAAAGAATCAAGAGAAAAGGAACCTTAAGGCCAACTATATATCTGATGGAGGATTAATAGCAGAGAATATACAAAGAATTAAAAAAAAAAGCACAATGTTCTCAAGGAGAAATA